TGCCTGATCCCCCTGGGAGTGGGCCCAAGCCAGCAGGTGGACATCCTCCGAGGGGTCCCAGACTGCGAGAGTGCACAGGCCAGGCTGAGGGACCCTTCCCCCCCCAAGTGCACAAATTTTTGTGCACCGGGACTCTAGTATATAATAAATTCCACAACGAATGAAAATAGCAGAGCCTTCAATTTTTTTCTGTCAAAATTTCTTGGCATATAAAAAGACTAAGAAGATCAGGAATACAACAATATTTTGGCAAAGCATTGATTAACTTTGTCTATGTTAAATAACAATAAAATTGAGGTCACATTTGATATCTATTGCCAGATTTCAAAGTCAGTTTCCTTAGTTTCTGAATATTTTTTTTATTTAATGGAAAAATTCAAAGGCTTGGTGAGTGTATTTAAGAGATGAAATCAATGACACTGTATCTGATATCTAAGGCTTGATTCTTCAGGGTAGAGAAGGTTCCTCTGTGACTACAGACATTACCTTTACTTTTCTGTCTCAGTTAATCATTAGTATAGTAGTGAACACTCCACTGAGTGACTTGTCTGAAAATTATCAAGTTAAACCTAATGGTTATCAGTTGATAATTCATCTCCTGGCCCTATTACAACCCATTTCATGTTCAGAGTTAATCACAGAGTTATTAATTAAGCGAATTTCCTTTCATTGACTTTCAATTTCTTTCACTACCATTTCACCCCCAAATTATCCCATTTTGAGTTTTTGATATAGCACCTCAACAAATTTTGTCCTTCTAGACCTCTCTTTTATTCATCCTTGCCAAAAATCTGCCCAATAGGCTGTTATAGACTCATAGATTCGTGACAGCGGTAGCTTTTATTGTGTTTTTCAGAGAGTTTGTATTATAATAGGAGGCTCCTGAAGGCAGTATTTCTTTTAGCCTCCTAATGTGTTTCCTATAATAGAGCATTCCAATCCATGAGAGAGGAAATGAAGTTAGTAGGTACTATAACAAATGGATTAACCCTAAGGAAGAAATAGCTGATGATAAAATTTTAGAAAGATAAGTGTCCTACAAATGAAAGCAAATAATTAGACCTATGACTTATACTGAAGTCTTTTTCTTGTAGTGTTTCTCCCACTAAATTTCTAGCTACACATTACAGATGTAAACTTTCAGATGTTGCCTCCTAACTCTTCTTTATCATCCAGCACCTGAAGTCCCATTGATTCTATCTCTGTTATTTTCCTCTATTTTCTATAGTTAAGATCACTGCCCTAGTTAGGAACCACTCCAACTGTTAACTGAATATACAAAAATAACCTCCCCATTGGCATTC